AAGCTTGGAAGACAAGCCGGCAGAGGCAGCCAAGAGCGAAGTCATGACGGGAGACAAGCTTGGGAAACAAGGCGGCAGCGGCAGTGGCAGCCAATTTCCGCAATCAGGAACCCATCCATTGAGAAGTAAGAACCCCTGTAGCTTCGCTATCTGGGGAAAAAAACACCAAACCGCAGTCGTTCATAGTAACGACTGTTTTCAACTTGTCAATTGTCTTCAGCCACTTGACAGTCACAAGGTGCGATCACAAAAAAAGGGCTGTCACTCCAAATTTCCGGGGATGTCTTTGAAAGTCTACTAGTAACAAGTGCCACGCTAGTAGTAACAAGTGCCTTACTAGTAGTAACAAGAAGCTATTAAGAACAAGGAGCATTGTGCACTCCATAGGTCACCAGTGGCTCCTGCACAGCATTTCCACCTCGAAGTCCTGAAGAGTCGCACTAGCCCGCGGCAAATTCACTTGTTCTCTGGGGCTCCAAGCGGTCGCCTGCCTCACCAAAACGAGCCACATGAGTCACACTGTGAGCCACAAAAAGTTGAAAATCAAAGGTACCTTCAAGTAAAGGGTGTGCCAAACTTGATAAAGCAGAACTTGAGAAAGGCACTCGCCTCCTTGCGCTGCTTTGCACGCAAGTTGTGATCAAAGGCGACCACCCTGGAAGCACCGGTGGCTTCGCTCACCAAGGCCTGCAAAGCAAAAGCTGGCCATCCACGCATCCACGTCCACAATCGGGCCGGAAGAAAGAGAATGTGAAACTGTCCTATGGCCTCGCATTCTGGATAGTAGACATTTATCACCTTCTCGTTGTCATAATAGTCAATGTGATTCCAGGCCTTATGACTCCGAATGGTCGAGTTTGATATTCTAAAGCAAGGCTTTGCACAATGGTCTTGACATCACTGGTTTCAGTAGTGGTGTCTCTAGCACCAGTGCTCTTGTCACTCTTCGATCATGATTATCATGCGCTGGTAAGGATGCACACCGTCGTCATGATCGCAACATTCTGATGGTAGAGCCCAGCCGGTGTATCGTCACCGCGCGTGCATGTCTAAGTCCAGCTGTCCCATTATATTCCAGGATGTTCCATGTTCTCAGGTTCACAGCATGTCACATGTGTGCAGCTCTTCACACACTTATATAAATAGTTCGTTCTAAGCTGCACACGTGCTGCATGAGGCAAAAGCCGTTCTCGTCCAAGGTCTTTCGGTGGCCCCGTCCATCGGCGATCTTCACCTCTAAACCCAGCGGATCGGTGCCGAAGAACTCGCCGTCGGAGCCCAGAAGGTCCCGGTTGGTACCAACTTGGCCGGTGCTCAAAATGCTGGTGGGCACCTGCTCCAAAAAGAGCAATTCTGCTGAAATGTGGTCGTGGAACGGTGTCGTGCAAACTGGACTTCCAAAATTATCTTGCGAGTTGCTAGGCCTTCTCACTTTGGAAGTAAAGCTTTCCTGTCGTGCCAGCCTTGGGAAAAGAAGAATGAAAACAATGTGAAACACTATCACTACAGTATCATGACGGCAATGTCTTAAGCAAAAGGCTCGCACCCACCCTTCTGTTGCAATATACCTCCAGAATCTTGGACCAACCCTGGCAGCTGCTCTGGCAATCATGGCGGTCTCCAAGAAATAAAGAGGTTTTCGTGCACATGGTGTGTGCGTGTGTGGCTTCTTGCTATGATGCAAACAGCTGTTGATGTGAGTCTATTACCCCCTTCCATAATTTCTCGGCAAAATGCAGCGGATGAGGCAACACAAATGTACGGCGACTGCATATAACTTCATAGAATGCTAGCGGCTGCACCCCGTCTTCTTGACATTGCTCATTCATCCAGTTGACTTTTCCACAAGGGTAGTTGCTGAACTGAATGCATAGCCGGAGTGTGTCTGACGATGAACTGCCAAAGTCCAGGGTTGACTTCGGATTCCGAAAAGCCCAGTAAACGTTGGTAAAGCTGTGAGGAAAAATTGAAGCAATCCTCCTAATCGATCAATTTGCCATCGGCTTCCAAATTGGTTGAAGCCACCCTGAAGGTGTATGGCCACAGTATTGCTACATGTAAAACAACCCGCCAAAAGGCAGCTTCAGGATCCTGTAAGCAACAAACATGGCCATGCGCACATCAAAACATGGAAAAATGGAAGCTCTGGAGCTTCTCAAGAGCTTCGGAGCCACCATCAAGTTGAATAATTTCGAAATGACACTGCAATCAAACTCCGTTAGGAGCGATGCATGCTTTTGAAGCGTGTGTCAAAGAAGTGTAGATTATTCAATCAGTCTTGAAAGGAAGCTTCGCCAGCTTGGACAAAGACCTTGGAAGGGCGCAAGGAAGAGCTTGTCCAGCCCTTCACTTCAGCTGGAAGAAGTCAGCCAAGTTGCCCATTGCAATACATTTCCTCAACTAGGCAGGAGTTGGTACCTGGCCAATAGTTTCAGAACCCAAGTTGAGATAATAAAGTCTTCCAAATGTCGCCAACAAGCACAAATGCAGTGAAGATTCATGTATTGTCATTCTGAAGAACGTATAGAGTATTGAATATTGAGATTGTGGCTTTGCAAAAGTTTTGTAGACATCTTGTGGCTTGGCAAGAGTTTTGTAGGCAAATTTCTCTGCTTTAGAGCTTACCCGAAGGCTTCAAAGGAAAGGCAAGATCCAACTCAAGTCATCAACTTATCAATGTGTGAAAGACGGATCTTAATGGTCCGGAATGTGTCCATATTCAGGAGCCAAGACCGAACTAGCCACCATCGCAGAGACCGCAGGACACACGTATGCAGAACACAGTTTTCCACACGAATTCATCGTGCTCTAGAGGTTAGACACCTTCAGTCTCAGAGACCATTTGAGATGGGTGCAAGGCAGAGGGACAAGCACAGGAGCTCTCGCAGTTCGGAAGAGCGACTAACATTGCTTCATCAGCAACTATGCACGCAAAACAACCTATACAGAAAAATCTCGATTGTGTGTGTGTCTGTATTGTGTGTAACCCTTGGAGTCACAGGGATCCTGATGGATTTGTTTTGTTTATTTCAGCAGGGGGCCACCGGCGTCCCAGAGGAGCGGTGGCCAACGAAGACCTCTTCTGGGACCCGTGTAAACGTACCTGCGAAACTGGTTACCTGTTGTTCTCGCTGTGCTTTGCTTTCATGGTGGTTCATGTATGTGGTTCTGTTACTAACCGCAACTCGCGTTTCGTGTTTTACCTTTCACCTGACATCTGAGGCGTTCATGGGCGTGTGGCAAGTGGCATTCAGATCCGTACGCATTTCTATAAGTGTGTCTGGCTTCATGCCCCTGTGGACCCGTTGAACGGGGGTTTGTCGCGCGTGTCCGCACCGAGCGGACTTTATCTCGGCTAAAAAAGAACAGATCAACTCTTGATCATTGCCAAAAGGTCGAAACCTGGCTTGAAAGGAACTTGGTACACTTCTGATTTGCGCACCCTCCATCAAACATTTGGTACACTTCTTGGATTCTTGGTTTTTCGTGCACCAGCACTCCCCCTTCGCCGTTACGGCGAACTTTGGTGCTCGCTTTCCAAAACTCCTCGGAAGAGGGTGTACCCCACCCAAGTGCAAGGTGGCACCCCTTCTTCCCATTCCGCTCGTCCACGTAAATGATCTTCCGCTTGAAGATCGTGGACCATGCCACCGTCATTCGCCATCGGCCCCACTCCTCCTCCCGCAGGACCTGGGACTCGAAGTCATAGACCTTCTTTCGCTCTTGGTGATGCACCCGGACGCCAATCTTCCGCCCCATCTCAATGTGTCCTTGGCCGCCGTCCTCAGCGGTGGAGTGGAGATCACCTTCAGGAACCCCTTCTGAAAGCCCGAGTCCTCAAGTAGTCCCACGTCTCCTCATCGTGGCACCACTTCCCAAGCGTCACATGCTCCGCCACAGTGGTCACCAGTCTCAAAGGCTCCACCGTGGGCTTCTCCCCACCGTGCCTTGAGATGGCCCACCTCCTCCCTCACTTCTTTGAGCATTGGACGCTGTGGCCTGCATGGCCCCAGCCCATTTTTGGGTCGTGGGAGATGAAGCGCACACCATCCTGTAGCGGTCCCATGCCCTCATCGGCAACCCCAGGTTGGCCCTCATAGATCTTAATCTTGTACTGGTTTTCTATCAGGGGCTCCTCGGCGGTCATGAGATGGTCCCGCGTGCCCTCCACGACGTCAGTCTGGGCGCCCGCCTCGGTCACTGTCTCCCCATGACGGTCATTTCTGACCGGCAACGTCCGGATGGAGATCCTGTCAACCGGGGCCTATTAGTGCCCAGTTCTTGACGTTGATTTAGTGGATCATCTGGGTCTGCCCATGGATGGGCTTCCTCATGTCCTGAGTATCCGAATCCCCTCAAGTTCTCAAGGCTGTTGGCCCCCACTTCCAGGATCTTCTCAATGACCAGCTGAGCCACTCGATCACCACTGTAGATCGGAAAGTCCTCATCGCTCCAGTTGTGAAGGAACACCTTCACTTCTCCTCGAACGTCTCTGTCGATCACACCCGCTTGCCATGTCTTCACCAGCACGCTATCTGCTGGGGGCACCACCGTCTCAGGACTCCAGCTTTGCGGGCGCCGCCGTCCTCCTTGGCACTTTCCATCGACGATGCCCCCTCTGGGGATTCCTCCCCACCACCAGCCGCGCGCCGCGCCATGGCGGCCAGCGACCACTCTGCCCACGGAGCAGTAGTGGGCGGTCTTTCTAAGGACCTGTTGGGCTCAGAACCCGCGCGTCCGCACCGAGCGGACCTTTTCTCGGCTAAAAAGGGGCTTCGAACAGATCAACTCTTGATCATAGCCAAAAGGTCGAAACCTGGCTTGAAAGGAACTTAGTACACTTCTGATTTGCGCACCCTCCATCAAACATTTGGTACACTTCTTGGTTTTTCGTGCACCAGCATGTCGAACGTATCCCCTGCCCGGATACAGAGAAGCTCGCAGCGAGCGTAGGTGGCTTAAGCAAAAGCTATTTGTCAAGACTTGACGGATTGTTGAATTCTAAGCTGGCCTCCTTCGGGCATGCCGTTAGGTGACCATAGCGGTCAGAGTAGCCAGCCATTTTGGCACGGCGTAGGCGTTCAAGGCTTGTTGGAGCCTGTCGAGACCTTAACCCCGTTCCTCCCCCTACGCTCCCCCTCTTCTCTCTTTGCTTTTTGCTCGTAGCTGGGAACACCTGTCCACTTCCTTTTGTTTCCTTCTCTTTCCTTTCTTTCTCGCCGTCGTCTTCTCCTTCTTCTCTCTCTTCTCTCCCTACCCCTCCCTTCCTCGTGCACAGTATACTTACATTCAAACGAGGTCTTTGCAACAGGTTCTCAACGAGGCTTGGCTTTCAACGGTTTCTGTCACCTTCATTTGGTTCCCCTTTTTTCATCGTGCTTCCCCTTCACACACCTTTTTTCCTCCTCTTTTCTTTCACGTCTCCCTGTCTTCATGTCCTGGCGTTTCATTCCTTCTTTCTTTTGCGCACACAGTGGTCCGGCCCTTAGTATGTACGTGCACAACCTACTTTCAACCTAGGTTTCAGGTCGCCCAGGTCTTTACAATGAGGTGGGGTGCATCGGTTGTCCCTGTGCACTTCATTCCCTTTCATCGCAGCCACGCACACTTTTGTCCTGTCTTGTCCTCTCTTCATGTCTTCATCTTTTTGTCTTTGCTGCTCGCACACGCGCACATTCGTCCTAACCTTGGACATCTTGTGGCTTGGCAAGAGTTTTGTAGGCAAACTTCTCTGCTTTAGAGCTTACCCGAAGGCTTCAAAGGAAAGGCAAGATCCAACTCAAGTCATCAACTTGAGGCCGAGGGTAGGTGACGAAAGCTAGCAGGGGTGCATCTGGACTGGTGGGACATCAAGCGGAGTGAGGCAAATGCTCATGAGGTAA